TGACCCTAGTGAGGATTAAGTGGTGAACAGATAATGGATGGATATTAAAACATAATGTGTTTTAATATTAATGTGTTCAAGATATATAATGCTGTGTTCTGAATTCTCACACATAGTATACTATAGTATAGTATAGTATAGAATATGGTGTGGTATGGTGGAATGGTATAAAATAATCTAATAAAGTATGGTATCTGTATTGATCTTCCTTGATTACCAGTAATCAATATTGACATTAGCCCTGAAAAAAAATCATATTGGTCGATCCTTAGTCTAGCCTATCCTAGGCTAGTATAGTATGGTATTGTATCGTGCAGTGCGGAACAGTGCAGTCTGGCATGGTGTGGTGTGATATGGTACAATACAATACAGTATGTTGTGGCATGGCATGGTAGTGTATATGATATATATGATGATATACATGATAGTATATCATGTACATTATAGTATAGTTTAATGCAGTACAATACAGTATGGTACAGTGCAGTATAGTACATTATCGTGTTATATAGCGCAGTGCAGTACAGTATAATGAAGTACATTATAGTATAGTACAGTATAGTATTATACAGTACGGTACATTATAGTATAGCATTATACAGTACAGTATGCTATAGTATAGTATAGTATAGTATAGTATAGTATAGTATAGTATAGTATAGCTTAATACAGATCAGTACAGTGTGGTGCAGCCTTATATAAAAAAGAAAAACCTTGATCCTTCACTGCTGTCTAAGTTCAGGCCCACATCCAAGTTATCTTTTCTGTCCAAAGTTTTGGAGAAAATTGTTTTCATTCAACTACAAACCTTTTTAGAAAACTATGAACAGTTTTAGTTTCTGCTTTTAAACCTTGCCACAGCACTGAAACATCTCTTTTATGTGTAATCTTCTTTTAACAGTTGATTGAGGAACCTCAGTTCTAATGCATCCAGACCTGGCCGCTGTTTTTCTATCCCATGGATCATGATATATTGTTATCACATTTTGTGTGGGCATCAAAGGAACTGTCCTCAAGTGGTTCAGGTCATACCTCACAGACATAAGTTTGTCTCTGTTTTCACTAAGGCCGACTGCAGCTCCTCTTACTTGTGGGGTCCATTGTAGGTCCTGTCCTCATCTCATAAGAAATGGACCTTTCCTTTCCATTGTTTTGCAGCTAATGTAAAGATCTTTTGATCTCTTTTTAGAAACTGATACTCTGACTTAATCTCTTATTCTGTTGTATTATTTATTCTTCTCATTATCCAATGAATTTGAGGAAGTATTTAGGTGAAGTAAAAGTAACTTTACCACATTGTAAAAATACTTCATTACAAGTTCTACCATCATAATTCTGTAAAAGTACATATGAGCAACATAAAATAAAAACCCAAAGTATTGCAGACAAGAGAAACAACAGTAAATACTTATTTTATTACTGCTGTTTATCTCAACAGCAGCTACATGTCCAGATGATGACATTGTTTTTGTAGTACTGAGCTCTGTCTGCAGATGGCAGTGTAGCTGTAGTCTGCATTGTGACTTAAGAGATGAAATCACAAGTGGAATATGTTTCTGCAGCTGCTTCACTTCCCAGAAAAAAAATAAAATCAATTAGCACTGCTTTTCAATGCAGTTGTATTTGCTGTATTTATTCATATACCTGGTTTATACAGCAGCCAATTAAAAAAAACAAACAAACAAATTTGACAAAAACTAATTAAAGTGTTCAAGTATTCCAAATAATACTACATTAACCTGGTATTTTTATTTTACATCTCCTCTACTTGTTTCACATGTCAACATCTTTTATGAACGGGCTGGCGGTTGTGAGAGGGCTGTATAAGGCCGGTTTGCCCTCACCTGTTTCTGCAGTTCCTTACTCACTTTTTTTTCAATACTTCTTTAAAGAGATCGTACAGCCAGCTGAAACAAACCACAGGAATCAAATGAGCGTGCAAAACATCAATCAGGACAAGTCAAACTGGGGAAAAACTTGCGCTTACATGGGTTTAACAGTAAGGCCCAGCAGGTGTTTCTCTTACCTGGCTCCACCATGGAACTTGATTGCCACGCTGCCAACAGTGGCTGCGCAGTTGACAGCACTGACCGCTGGCCGACCCATCTCATCACTCTTGATGGTGATGCCTGTCGCGATTGTGAGTTCGTTCACATTCAGATCAAAAGAGCCGCTGTCCTTTCTCTTGAGAGACAAATGAGCTGCTGCTGCAGCCAAGATTTTTAAAAGTAAATGCACTGTTTAAGGAAGAGGTCTTTTCTCACTCACATAATATGCAAATACTTGACCTTCCAGTTTCCATGCAGGCTGATGAATGCGTTGCTAATAGACAGTCTGACTGCAGAACCTGGCACCAGATCCACTTCAGTCTTTGATAATCCAATGCTGACTGTTTGCATACTGGAAGAGGCAAAAATGATTGCCAGGGCAGTAAGTAATCCAGTTTCCAACTTAGCGGTGTGTTGTATAAACTGGTGCCTTACTTTGAAAAACTGTACTTGACCAAGCGAATGTGCAACACCTTCCATGACCCTCGCATGTTGGGGATTTTGATGGATTTGAGTTTCTGCTGCAGGGCGGCCATGCTCTGTAATTTTCCTACCAATGGGCAAGAAAATTCAATGATGAAACTCGGTGCTATCACATGACCACACGCACACGTATGACTTAAAACTGAAAGAGGATACTTACCATATTCAAGGTCTTTGTTGTAAGCTTGATCTTTACTCCAGGTTTGGTGCTTAAGGTCGCAGCAGAGCCAGCCAGCACCTCAGGTACATCTTGACCTCTGGGAGATAAAGGACAAGATCATCAGCAAAATGCTCATATTTCTGTGAACACCGCATCGTAAAACAGACAAGAGTCTACTGTTTTGCTGTTTTCTTGGAAACCAATAAATCAAGGCTTTCTTTTTTAGAGTATGTTCGGTATGGGTTATTTTTTTCAAAGTCATGATTTACTAATGAATATACAAATCTGTATAAATGAATTAATACAACAGTGTAAAAAGTCTGCATTTAAAATCCTGCTACAGAAAAAGTAGGTAATAGTAATAATAACTTTATTTGTGTAGCACCTTTAAGAACAACAATTCACAAAGTGCGTTGATAGGTAGAACATAAAATATCAGGCAGGTAAACACAGGTAAAACCAAAATAGTAAATAAAAAGTGCATGCAAACACATGTGAAAACACACTGTGAAAAATGAAAATGTACAGAATGGGTGGCTAGTTAAAAGAGAAGCTGAAGAGGAAAGTTTCAGGCCGATCGGAGCACACATAAGCCAGTTACACAGCACCTCTCGTATTCTGGCGTTTTATGGGGCGCCATTTCCACGCCGTCAGACTTTTGCAGACTGTTTTACTAGTTTTTAATCACCACCTCCTGTAGTTTGTGACGGCCAAATTTCAGGTGTGTACGACCTTCCCTGTAGGAGGAGATAGATTTTGAAAATGGCCAAAAATGTCCAGAAGTCACCCAGAATGGCCAAAATTGTCACAGTGGTTTTTCAAAATGGCGGACTTCCTGTTGGGTTTAGGGCTTGACGCTGATTGACTTTTTTGTGCATCCTGACCTGCTACACATGCCCACCGAATCTTGTAGCTGTAAGTGAAACGACCTTCCAATGGCGGAAACACAGCGAAAATTGACAAAATGGCCATTGATCGGAATTGCATGGGCCGGCATTTCCAAACCGGGCCTCATCTGCGGAGCGTTTTGATAGCTTTTAATCACCACATCCTGTAGTTTGTGCTCGGCAAATTTCCGGTGTGTACGACGTCTATATGCCTACCAAATGTGGTCTAGGTCAAATGTGGTTCCGACGGGACTCCGGTGAAATTTTCAAGGTGGTGCTGTGGAGCCATTTTTCTATTGAGGTGTGTATTTCCACCAAATTATTAAATTTTTCGCCAGGTCTGATGTGTGTGCCAAGTTTTGTGCAGTTTCGAGTATGTTTAGGGACTCAAAACGCGTCTCTGTGTCATGAAGAATAAAAATAAGAAAAAAAACGAGCAGTTCCCTCAAAATAGGTATCAATTGTGTAAATAATCGGACCCTGTGAGCGTCAGTGATATTAATTGTATTTTTATGTGTTACCTCAACCACATCTAAAAAGGGAAAGGGAAGGGAAACATCTAAAACTTGCAGGATTGCGGCCCTCGAACCTGCAAGTTTTAGTTCCTTCTTCCAACACACCTGATTCAAATGATCGGGATTGTTATCAGGCTTCTGCAGAGCTTGATGATGAGCTGATCATTTGAGTCAGGTGTGTTGGAAGAAGGAAACATCTAAAACATGCTGGATTGCAGACCTCGAGGACCGGAGTTCGACACCCCTGTTAGAACCTTTTTTTTTTTTTTTTAATAAAACATTCCTACAATGAAAGACAAAGAAAAAGACATTCAAATGTAACATTCAGAAAACGTTTTAGGAATGTTAGGGCACCATGTTCTAACAATGTTATCAATGTACCTTTCAAACTTTAAAGTTAAACAACTTCCCCCTGAAAACTTCACTGGAACTTTGCACAACTTTCTCAAAATGGTTTTTGTGCAACAAAAAATCCTGCTGGGTCAAAGCCCCCCTCCACCAGAAATGTTCTACTTCATGACAGCATTGGAGTAAATGTAGCTCCACGACTGGACAAACACTGATGAAGACACATGACATCATCTGATACTGATTTATTTATTTATTAATTCATTTATTTATTTATTTTCTGATTTCACAGTAACATAACAGCAAAAATCCAATAAACCTTCATAGATTCAAATTTACATATTTCCAAACTATACAAGCAGAGATACACACACAAGTCACACTATTGCACACCACCCTGTTTGATTCAGGACCAAGATTCAAGTTTCAAACCAGTAACTGTGATACGTTTCATATAAACCATCTGTTTCCACTGATCCTGTCAGGACAAGATGAGTTCAAAACAATGAAATCCCCTTCAGTCACAGCAGAGACGACAGCGTCTCCATGCAGTGGTTGATCAGTAATACTGAGGATAAGTCGTGTAGGATCCTCTGAGCTGAGACGTGGCCGATGGCAACATGACTCCTGGGAGGCTGCTGTACTGGTAGTAGGAGTCCAGAGGCAGAGCTGTGACGCTGGGCAGAGCTGAGCTGTACTGCAGGCTGTGTGGATGGATGTACGAGGCAGCAGCAGCGGCAGTCGGGCCCTCAGGGGCCCCTGCTGGCCCCGCTGCTGTGTGGTACCTGGGGTAGGGCCCTGTCCTGTAGGCCTGCAGCTCGTGGTAGTGCATGAACTGAGAGGCCACGTTGGCCTGACAGGCGTGAGCCAGAGCATCCTGCACCGTCCTCTTCAGCTTCATCCGCCGGTTCTGGAACCAGTTTCTGATCTGAGGAGAAAACATGAAAAGATCTCTCATGAGCAAAAGTTTTAAAAACAAAAGATTAAATATATGCTATAAATATGCATTTGTGGGGGAGAGCATCATGGTTGGAGTCAGGATTTATAGAAAAACGAATAACAAGATATATGAATCAAAAAATAACAAAATAAGAAACAAAAAAAAAAAAAAAAAAGCAAAAATGCACCAAATGACTCAAATCTTTTAAATAATTTATATAAACCAGAAAAAAAAAAAAAAAAAAAAAACAAAAAAGAAAAAATTAAAAAACAAAAAAACGAATCAACTGGGTGAGCCGGTAAACCACCTAGAGGAGCTAGAGACCCAAATACAGCAGCCATAGGCTCAAATACAGCACACAGCCCTTCAAAGCAAGCCAATCCCCCGTTCCCCCAACCAACTCCCCAACCTCCCACTATCTACTTCAACAACCCAACCAAAAAAAGCCAAAAAAAATAACTTAACTTAAATAAATAACTTAAATAACATCAGTGCATTTAAATGCACTGCTGTGAGGACTGTTACCTGCTTGTCGGACAAGTTGAGCTTCTTGCACAGCTCGGCCTTGTCCTGTGTTCCCAGGTAGGCGTTCCTCTTGAAGGCTCTCTCCAGGCTGCTGATCTGCTCTGCAGTAAACGCTGTCCGAGGCCTCCTGCCCACCGGGGGGGACGGGGGGGACGTGGACGGGCAGTCTGAGGGGGAAGACAGGGACGGAGCTCCTTCACTCTCGTAGCCGGACGTCTCCTCCTCTGTCCCGCTGCTGAAACCAACCTCAGTCACTGCAAGAAGACACAAGTGGAAATTAGTTTTGAACAGGTTTACAGAAAATCACTGATGGAAGCATTCGGATACGTCAGTAAAAGAACTCATACTTTTTATTTTTGCTGTTTTCCTGAGTTTAATGATACGCCACCTTTGAACTTTGGTGGAGGTTTATTGGCTATACTTAAAAATATGCAGTTACAAGTAATATTACAGGTTTTTACTGAAGCATTTTTAGATGTTTCAAAACATCTGACTGTGATCAATAATCATCGGTCTGTTATTAGTGCATGTGATCAAAATGTTACACTTTAAACTCTAACTTCATCCGGTTGCACTTAAATTAATATCTTACATATCAGCTTATAAAAGTTAAAAAACATTGTTTTGGTAAAATGTTACTTTAACCCTCCATAATCAGCATCTAGATGCAGTACATAAATATTAATACTTGTTAATATAATTATTCATAATGGTATTGTAAAAATATTTTATTTTGATAACAAATCCAAAAGAAATTTTTATATAAAACTAAATATTACCTGAAAAAAATACAAGAAGCTAACCAAACAATGAAGTATTAAATTAATTAATACAATATAAAATATCCTAAACATCATCCAACATGTTTATAAAAATAACTTTAAATTTCTAATTCTAGGAAAATTAAACTTGATAAAGAATTACATTTATTAGCTTAGATAAATAACAGTAAATAATAAACACAATTAAATACAAAAATAGATATTTTAAATAAAATAAACTGATTAAGGATTACATGGAAAAAACCAAATTGATAAACATGATAAAAAAAAATAAAATAAAAAAAAACTATTTTAAGTCCATTTAGGCACCTTTAAGGTAAATGGAGCAGCAGATAAAGTGTTTCTACAGTCCTACCTTGGTTACTGGAGCAGGTCTGGAGCTGCACAGACTTCTGGCTGAAGGCTTCACAGCTCTGACCCTGCTGCTGCTGCTGCTGCCGCTCAGGTACATTTTCTGACTTCTGTCTATGGTAGAAGCCGGGCAGACTCTCTGAATGTGTCCCGCAGGCTGCAGGTCCGGAGGCAGCGATTGTGGGGGTCCCCGATCCGGCCGGCTTGCTGCTCTGAGCCATCCACTCGATAGAGAAACGTCCTCTCATCATCCCAGAGGTAAATCCTTTTTAGAAGTGAAATGAGCAGGAAAGTGCAGGGGGAAGGTTTTCTAGCTGGTCATTGGTGGTGCTGGCAGAGTTTTTCCGCTCCTCTCCGTAACCTGGTGTATTTATAGGGGCAGCCCGCCTCATTTCAACCTCACTCAGCCTGAAGATCAAAGCACACATCCTCCCTGCCCTCCCACCCTCCCCTCTTTTAGTTTTCACAACTGGAGTAATTAAGGCATCCCATTCAGTCTCAATGAGGCTGTTACAGCAAGGCTCCAGTGAGTCTGGGAAGGACCCCCCTCCTCACCCCTCCTGCCTCCTTCCTGCCCCAAACAGATAATAGACTCACCTCAGCCCCAACTGTCCGCAGCCACATCCACACCATAAATACATGAGAGGGGAGAAAACTGTCCTGCAGAGAAGCAAGAGAAACTCTTCAAAACACAAAGTCTTTAACAGTTTTTTTATCTGGGTTTTTTTTGTGTGTGTGTTTTTTGGAGGCCTTTTTTTTTTTACGATTCACTCTTTGCAAAATGACAGATAATAATGCAAAATGCAGCAGGTCAAAACTGCACATAACGTCAGATCAGCATTTTTACAAATAAGTTGTTCTTTACAGTGTGTGACTGTAAAATTACACTGTTATGCTGTATTTAAATCAACTAAAAATAGTATTTTACAGATGGTTGCCAGTATTTTAAGCATTCAGTTGTTTTTTACAGTGTAACTCTGAAGAGAACCTGTCAATTTTAAAATGTAGAATAACCTGAAATCTAAAAAAGTTACCAGCAAATGCAGAATTCCAGTGATCTAAAGGAGTAAAAACTATAATATTTCTCGCTACAGTCTAAAAAATAACGTTAGGGCTCAACAAAAACAACAATGCAACAGTTTGCATGGATCTTTTGGAGTTATGTAGCTTGTAATGAAATCATGTTCAACCAACAAACTACATTGGGTTAGGGAAATGAGATTTTCCTCTGTAATCAAATGTATTTTAATCAACAGTCCTAACTGTCTGACATTGCTCAGGCCTGTGAAGATAAAAAAGAGATTTGAAATCCTGAGCTTAAGGTGAAAAAAGTGAAGCACTTACACCAATTTCATTAAGTTACCTTCACTTGAATTTAGTAGTAAATCAACTTAAACGGAAAATTAGGTTTAAATGACACATTATATTAAGCTGCTGCAACATTATGATGTCAAACCAACCCAACAAAATAACAGTTTTAATCACAGGGTGTTTGGAATTAATCATTTAATCACTTTTCCGAGTGTGTCATGTTGTAAACTTATAAAGCAACATGAAACATTTTAATACAAGATTATTTTATCTTATCACTATTACTCAATCAAAAAAATGTATAAGGTTTCCATGGAGGTCAACATATGAATGCAAATATTGTGCTTTTTTGCTTAAAAAAATGAAAACTATAATCAGAATTGACTATTTCCTTGATTGCTTAAGTTCATACAAATTAAGAAAACATTACTGAAATTACTTGACTTGTTTTTTTATCGAGGTTTTTCCCTCCTCTCCTCAGTTCTGCTGATTTACTGGTACCCACATGTAAACTAGTCATCTGTTAACACACTTTGACTTTTCACAGTCACATAACTGCATTTACAAAATATGCTGAGACGGTGAAAATTGGCATTTTAACACCACATTGTAGGCTGAGTCCACATCATGAGAACTGTTTGCTAACTGTTGGATGATCCCGAGATTGAAGGTGATCAGTTTAAAGGCTGATAGATTGACCACTGATGGGTTTTCAAGTCTGTGATCAGGTTTTAACAAAGAACTGATCCTCTCTGGTGAAACCACGAAATCACAGCCATCAACAGTGACACTGATATACATGAACTACTCACAGACGTACTCAGTTTGTTTGTGTGTACTGTCTACAGTAAAAAAAAAAAGTACAATATATCCCTTTCAGATGAATTGGAGCAGAAAAATAAAACACTCAAGTAAATGTATTATAATTACATTTCATTGCAGCCATACACATGCTTGATATTTCATATAGATTCATTTCCATTTACTCAGCAGTACTTCTGAGTCAGCTAGATGTTGACATATTATTTTAGTAAGTAAACTATTAACAACAACATATAGAATACTCCAACCAAGTACACTTACTGGTACAGTGAGCGATATCTGAGTATTTTAGTTTGATATTGCTTAAAGTAGCAGAATAATAACATTTACCTGTAAGCATTTTGTGCTTTTTTCTACTTTTTAACATATTTTTTTCTTTTCTTTTTCTTTTTGTCTTTTCTTTTCTTTTTATTTTTCTTTCTTTCTTTCTTTCTTTTTTTTTTTATACCAAAACAGTAGCAACTAATAAGTACTGTAGATGAGTATTTTAGTTTGATGTACCTTCAACAGATTCCCCACTGATTACTTACTTACTTACTTACCAAAAACTGTAACTAACAAGTACGATAGGTGAGTATTTTAGTTTGATATACCTTCAACAGATTCCCCACTGATGAAGTCATAAGCTAACTTATAGGTCACTCCAAACTTCTACTGAGTGCATGATACTAAATCACTGTCACTATCCACTACATTTTAGAGGGATGTGAATAAACTGAGAACATCTACTTGAGCATTTTATGTGAAACTACTTTATATTACTACTCCATTACATTTCAGAAAGAAATCAGGTTCCTCTGGCTGGATGATGATGATCCAGCTGTGAACATCTGCTCTCTGGGAGCAGACTGTCTCTGAGGACAGCGGCATGCGGGCGCTGTTTTGTGTGCAAATTGCCGGACAGCCAGGACACATTGTGCGGGTTTAAAGGATTAATCGGCTCAATCAGCAGCGCTGCCATTGATAAGATAATGAGCTGATGGATCCGGGGTCGTGCGCGCTGCGCTCCGCGCCTCCAGACGCGCTATCTGTGCGCGCGCCGAGAGGAGAGCCGGAGCTAATGTCTCATTACTGAAACTGGGACACTTCAAAGGCGCTCAGAGCTTTGATAGCCGACAGACAGACAGCAGGCAGCGGACAGGACAGACACCTGAAGCCCGCTGAGGTCCTCTGAGCTCAACAAGTCCTGCAGGAGCGGAGCTGATGAGCTGCCTGCACCAAAACTGGGAGGCTCAAAGGACTTTCAATGGACCACTTTTACTTGTAATGAAGCATTTTTACATTGTCTTACACTGTTTGTTTATTAAATAAAATAAAATAAAAATCCAGCCTGAAGGGTGCCAAAGTGCAAAAGTACAAGTCCATTAAAAAGAAGAGAAATGTGTAGTTGACTGACACACAAAAATGGTGTCATTCTATGTTTGATGGTCAAACACTACATGTTTTTCTGTTGTCGCTTTTACAGTCAACATATAACTGAATAATTTAGCTGTGATTTTATTGTACCACTACACATTTACTTCAATAGTTTTTAAAATATAATGAATTATTATAAATTAAACCACCAAACTGTTTATGAGTTGTTACAATTGGTTCCATCATGTACCAGTGAAACATCACTTAGACTCTATAGGCTAATGCAGATATCAGTCACAGAGAGCTAATCCCCTAATGTTACACTAGATGATGACATATTTCTTGTGGTTTATGGTGTAAAAATCACTCTAGGTTCAGTTCTTTGTCAAAGTTCCACCATACATTCAGTGTGTGGTCCTCGACTCCACAGAGCATCTCTCCCCTCTGAGAGTTAAAACCAAAGCTTTACTCTTTATCTACTAAGTATCAGACATGACCTTCCTTGGGGTATTTTAGATATTTATATGAAAAACAAGATAAAAGATTTTACAGCAAATATTAACTGTTACAACCAGATAAAACCATCAGCCCTGCAGCTGATTGGTACAGTTAAAGGTTCAAAGTGGTCCTGGTCATTTGTTTTCCCCCTGTCACCTCCATCTATCTGTCTGACTGTCTGTCCGTCAGTTTGGATGGATGGATGGATGGATGGATGGATGGGTGGATGGATGGATGGATGGATGGATGGATGGATGGATGGGTGGATGGATGGATGGATGGATGGATGGATGGATGGGTGGATGGATGGATGGATGGATGGATGGATGGATATGGATGGATGGATGGATGGTGTACGACGGGGCAGATGGCTCCACCTCATCGTGTCCATCCTGATCTGGGACATGCAGCGCTGCAGCTCTTTGATGTGACGCCTGTCGAGGCAGACGAGAGGCCTGGAGATGAGGACACAGCAGCAGCAGTGTTTATCTGTGGCTGGGACGTTTCAGAAACTCTTCACCTGTTCATATCAAAACCAGTATTATATAAATGCTGTGGAGTGGAAGGCCAGTGTAATATTTTCATGTCCACAATGGTCTGAATTTAGTCATTTCCCCAATGTCTGTGTGCAGCCAGACATTTGGAGGAATATGTAGATACAACCTACTTCATGCAACAAGAAAACAATCTGATAGAATATTTGATAGTTTCCCTTAAATGCATGAGATGCATTTCATGAACAAACTCCAAGCGTGCTCCCTCCCTGGCTCATGACCAGCCTTTCCTACCACTTGATAATGGAGCTCCTTCGCCCTCCATTGCTCTCCACATTTCTTCCTTACAGGTCTCCTGAGGTGTGCTACTCCACGGACACACAAGCTTCTCGTTGCCTCGGTTTCGTGGTGGCTTGCAGTGTTCGCAGATAGAAGAACGTCTAGAATGGCCTGCTCAAGGCCAATTGTTGCTTTCCGCATCTGCAAGAGTAAATGTCAGTTTTGTCACTCACCTAAATACACAAAAGTCGACCTGACATTTGGATTCTGAATTCTCCAGAAATCCTGTGCTATACCCGTCCACTGTGCTCAACACACCTCAGGAACAATCACTGGCACGATGAGTCAGCATAATCTGTTAGCAGCTGCTATATCCTATAAAAACTGTTCGTCAGGCCGCCGCTTTAGCTCACCTGGTTGAGGTGGCGACCCATGTACAGGGGCTGTAGTCCCCGATGCAGCAGCCATGGGTTTGAATCCCACTCATG